CCTTTCATCCCCCTCTCTCATATCCACATTCTCCCCTACCTTCTTCGACCCTTCATTCCGCATCGCTATCCCTCCCTCTCTGCTCTTCCATCCCTGCTGGACCTTCCCTTCTCTCAACCCCTATGATCCCTCCCATCCCCTTCTCCTCCCTGACCGGCAGAGTTGTCAATTCACACCCAGAAAGCCTCCTACGTTACTCCTAAGTGCCTCCTAAACTTTATATCGAGACGTTTCATTCTCATTTTCCATCTCCATTTCTGCTTTCTTTTTTTCTCAGGCCTGATCTTCGTTCTATCTTCTTTTCAGTATCGCTATTATCCTTCACGTAACACATGAAGCTCTTGTAGGCCCTGCTTTTTAATAAAGAAAACTGAGGCTTCGTGAAAAGTTTGCTTTGAACCAACAGATAACAAGATTTACTTGAAATGAAAATACGTTAAGACTTGATCTTCACAAAGAATGAGGAACTAATCAGGGACACCCCAAACAGCAAGTCCTCACTACATTACAAATGGCAAGAAAGGTACAATCACAATACAAACAGCAACACAACCACAACACAAACAGGAAGACACCCATATGATGGAAAGAATGAAGAACTCAAAAGGAACACTATGTACAAAACTCAAGAGGGTCACCAAATAGAACGTAAGGAACACGTAAAAGACCTGGGAATAATTGTCAGCGGACGTTTCTTTTAAAGATCATAATAAGACAAAGATCACGACAGCCAGGAAGATGACTGAGTGGGTATTGAGAACTTTCAAAACAAGGGTAATAATGCCGATGGTGACACTCCTCAAATCGCTAGTGCTCCCTCACTTAGAATATTGCTCAGTGCTGTTCAAAGCAGGAGAAATATCGGAGCTGGAACAAATACAGAGATCGTTTACGGCTCACACTGAACCTGTAAAGCACCTAAACTACTGGGAACGCCTGCAAGTTTTGAACATGTATTCATTGGAGCGGAGGAGAGATACATGATAATATATACCTGGAAAATACTCGAGGGCCTGGTCCCAAATCTGCACACTACCATAACATACTGGAGTGAGAGATATGGGAGGAAGTGTAAAATAAACCCAGTGAGGAGCAGGGGTGCGGTGGGGACAATAAGGGAACATTGTATCAACATCCGGGGTCCCAGACTATTCAACATCTTACCAGAAGATATCAGAAACACGGATGGAATAAGAGGAAACTGGACAAGTATCTTCACCAGGTGCCAGATCAACCAGGCTGTGATGGATATGTGGGACAGCGGGCCTCCAACAGCAACAGCCTGGTTGACCAAGCAAGCACCAGACGAGTCTGGCCCATGGCCGGGCTCAAAGAGTAGATTAAGTCTCGAAACTCTTCAAAGGTATATCAAAGGTAGGCACACAACAACTACACAAACAGCAACACCACCACAACACAAACAGCAACAGATACCATCACATAGACACACTCCGGTGTGCAACTCAACACACAACGTAAAACACGGCTCGGAAACACGTAATGAATGGGAGGATACTCGCCTTAAATGACCAGAACACTCGCCCCTCTGTGAAATTACATCAAATAGCATAAATTTTACACCTCGTGGGAGGTCAATGCTACATTAACCTGATGAGGCCATTGACGCGATATAAGAGGAAGTTAGATACAAAATATGGGCAGGGTGAAGTCGCAAAGTTGAAGTGAAGGAGATGGAGAGGGGTAAGGAAGCAGAGGAGGAGGGAGAAGATTAAGTTTTGTGTGTGTGTGTGTGTGTGTGTGTGTGTGTGTGTGTGTGTGTGTGTGTGTGTGTGTGTTATATATATATATATATATATATATATATATATATATATATATATATATTATATATATATATACACACACACCCGTATTCACTTCCGGTGACCTCCGGAAGTAACTACAGGCAACCCTTGAACAACCATTCAACTAGCTGCCTACCTGAGAGGTGGAGAGTAGGATTGGGGAGTCAACCAGTGGGCGAAGGGGAAGATGGAAATTTTTATATTAGGAAAAACAATCCCTAAACCCGTATGGGTTATAGAACGCTAAAAGGGAAGGGATGGGAGGGAAGGAGTCTGTGAACATCAATCGCTGAGAAAGCTAAGTCATGAAATGAAAGAGGAGAAGGAGGGGAGGGAATTTTTAGTGTTCATAGTCAACCAGCGGCTGGGAAATGGGACGAAGTCAAGCTTGAGATCCAGGGAAGGGAAGGGAAGGGAAGGGTAGCTCCTACTTCTTGCAACTGAAGATGTCCTGTAGCTCGGATGGTAGCACACTCAGTTCACACGTTGAGTGTCCATGGTTCGATCCCCGGTAAGGGTGAAAACATTGGGAGTATTCCTTCAAGACACCTGCTGTCCCTATTCACCTAGAAGCAAGCGGGTACCTGGTTGTTAGCCGACTGGTGTGGGTCGCATCCTGGGGGACAAAATTAACCCAAGTTGCCCGAAATGCTCTGCATAACTAGGAGCTTCTATATAGTATGTCATTGATGTCAGCTAGGTCCGTATAAGTTGTATCATGTACCTGTAGAAATAAAGATTATTATTATTATTAAGAGTCCTTCTCTCCTTAGAAGGTGGATGTTAGCGGGCAGTGGGGTTGTCTGTGGAGGTTTTATAGGAGGGTGGCCGTTTCTGTGTTGCGGCTGCCCACGCCGCCAGCCAAGATGCTATCGTGCCTACACACACGCAAACGTACACCATGCTATCCACGTACATACGCATGCAACACCCTCCTCCCTACCTCACATACGTACTTAACCCCCCTCCCTACCTCACACACGTACTTAAACCCCCTACCTCACACACGTACTTAACCCCCTACCTCACACGTACTTAACCCCCTCCCTACCTCACACGTACTTAACCCCCTCCCTACCTCACACGTACTTAACAACCCCCTCCCTGCCTCACACACGTACTTAAAACCCCCTCCCTATCTCACACGTACTTAACAACCCCCTCCCTACCTCACACGTACTTAACAACCCCCCTCCCTACCTCACACACGTACTTAACAACCCCCTCCCTAACTCACACGTACTTAACCCCCCTCCCTACCTCACACGTACTTAACAACCCCCTCCCTGCCTCACACACGTACTTAAACCCCCTCCCTATCTCACACGTACTTAACCCCCTCCCTACCTCACACGTACTTAACAACCCCCTCCCTACCTCACACACGTACTTAACCCCCTCCCTACCTCACACGTACTTAACAACCCCCCTCCCTACCCCACACACGTACTTAACCCCCTCCCTACCTCACACGTACTTAACCCCCTCCCTACCTCACACGTACTTAACAACCCCCCTCCCTACCTCACACACGTACTTAACCCCCTCCCTACCTCACACGTACTTAACAACCCCCTCCCTACCTCACACACGTACTTAACAACCCCCCCCCTCTCCCTACATCCATGTCTCGATGCTTCCACACGCACGTGATACACAAACACGCTCATACCTAGTATGTAAAGGGTAGTTTACCGATGAAATGTGAACTCTGGGGATACAAATTGATAGTGTGCATGTGTGTTCGAGTCTGTGTTTTACGATCAGTAGAATTCCGAAGGGTTAATACTGGACAACTGTAGTGAAGGGTGAACGACAGCACATGGATAATGAACAGTACACACTGGTGATGAAGGGTGAACAACAGTACATGGATAACAATGAACACTGACCAGATTGGTGAAAAAGATATGTGATACCAACAAGTGGTTGGAAAGACACTAGATACAAACACTAGGACCTTTCATTGGAAACGTTTCGACTCTACGACCGAAACGTTTGCAAGTGTCAGTTTTTTTTTCAGTTGTCATTTTTTTATAACTGGCAATGAAGCTGAGCTACAAATAAAGGACTTTCTTGCATTTTTTCACCATCAGCATATCGCGATTGTTCTCAACTCTGCACACCGAAGTCACGACATATGAAAAGACGAGGCTTGGCAGATGATGCAGATACCTGTGACGACGAGCAAGAGGGCGGTGAGTATAGTGAGAGAACTCAGCAAGTGTAAAGGGACCACGACTCCAACACCCTCCCTTCATGCATAAGGGGACTACCAATAAATCCCTCGTTGTCTAACCTACAAGTTAACTCAAGGTCCAGCAGTGTGTAAGCAGGTGGCGGGGACAACGGGCTCTAGTAATATATACACGTAACGTAGATAAATGTTTCAGAGAACCAACAGGATGATGACTTAGACACTTGTGCAACACAATAAAGATACCCAAGTGTTGCACAATGTCTAATTCATCATATAGACGTAAGCCGGGAAGATGTACTTCCTTAGGTGTGAGCTAACCCCAGTGTGTGTGTGTGTATGTGTGTGTGTTAGTTACCATTTTGTCCTAGGCACATGTCGATTAGACACTAGGCCTGTTGTATTTGCGAGTGTGTGTGTGTGTGTGTGTGTGTGTGTGTGTGTGTGTACTCACCTATTTGTACTCACCTATTTGTGGTTGCAGGGGTCGAGTCATAGCTCCTGGCCCCGCCTCTTCACTGATTGCTACTAGGTCCTCTCTCTCCCTGCTCCATGAGCTTTATCATACCTCGCCTTAAAACTATGTATGGTTCCCGCCTCCACTACTTCACTTTCTAGGCTATTCCACGGCTTGACTACTCTATGACTGAAGAAATACTTCCTAACATCCCTCTGATTCATCTGAGTCTTCAACTTCCAATTGTGACCTCTTGTGTCTGTGTCCCATCTCTGGAACATCCTGTCTTTGTCCACCTTGTCTATTCCGCGCAGTATTTTGTATGTCGTTATCATGTCTCCCCTGACCCTCCTGGCCTCCAGTGTCGTCAGGCCAATTTCTCTCAACCTTTCTTCGTAGGATGTATGTGTGTGTGTGTGTGTGTGTGTGTGTGTGTGTGTGTGTGTGTGTGTGTGTGTGTGTGTGTGTGTGTGTGTGTGTGTGTGTGTCTGTGTTTGTACGCGGGAGTGATTAGTAAAACTAAGAAAACACCAGTACTCACGTGTGAGGTAGAGGACTGCGGCCAGGGCGCCCAGCACCAACAGCAGCAGTAACAACACGCCCGACAGCATCAGACACGCCCGTCGACGACCCCCTTCCCCTCGCATGAACTTTACCTTCCACGCTCGGAACAACCCCTGCCGCTTGAGCTTCGCGGGCGTTGGCGTCGCTCCGCCCTTTGCGTGGCGTGCGGAGGAGCGCAGGGAAGGTGTAGTGTTGTGAGCGGGCGTGGGCGGGGTGTGGGCGGCCTCTCGGGCCAGCAGGGCGGATACGGTAGGCAGGGTCGAGGAAGAAGTTGAATTTCCACAGGAATCTGTGCGGACGAGATACTTGGCAGGAGTACCGGTGGCCGACGCCGCCGCCGCCGCCCGCAGCGAGCCCCGCGAGTTATTGTAGGTTAGCGTAGGCGTGCCAGAGCCACCCTCGCGCGGGTAAAGATGCGGCTGGGCGTAGATGGGCTCCGTGCTGGAGTAGTCGCTACCTCCATAGTGATAGTCCGGCCGGTTGTCAAGCGCTGGATCCAGACGGTGATCCCGATGCTCTAAATGATGGTCGCGGGGGTCCATGCTGTGTTCGCGGGGGTCCATGTGGTGTTCGCGAGGATCCATATGATGTTCGCGGGGGTCCATGTGGTGCTCGCGGGGGTCCATGTGGTGTTCACGCGGATCTAGGCGGTGTTCGCGGGGGTCCATGTGTTCGTGGTTATCCATGCGGTGTTCGCGAGGATCCATGTGCTCTCGGGGGTCCTTATGATCGCGTGGGTCCCTGTGGTGTTCACGGGGGTCCCTGTGGTGTTCACGGGGGTCTCTGTGGTGTTCACGAGGGTCCCTGTGGTGTTCGCGGGATTCTAGACGATGATCGCGGGGGTCCCTGTGGTGTTCGCGGGGGTCCATGTGATGTTCGCGGGGGTCCATATGATGCTCGCGCGGATCTAAGCGATGCTCTCCGTATTCGCGCGGGTCGCGGTGTTCCAGGTGGTGATCGCGGTGGTCGCCGCGGTGCCCGGGGCACTGATAGACGTGTTCGTGATCGCGGGGCGCTTGGCAGGAGTACATGGGCTCCCCGTGGGGCAGACGGGACTGCGGGGCGATGTGCGCCGGGCAGAGGGGCGGCAGCGAGGGGTCCGGGAAGAGGGTTGTGGTGGTGGTGTGCCCTGCTGATGTGGGAACCCCCGACACCTGCACCACCGTCCCTGGCAACACGTTCCCTGGTACCCCTGTCACTCCCAGCACACGGCCGTTGTGGACGTGGGTGACGTGTTGGGGGACGCCCACGCCCCTGGGAGCGTGGGTGTGGGCGTGGTGGATGGTGGGAAGGTGGTGGGCTCGCCGCTGGGACATACTTCGTGGGCTCCCTCGCACGCTCTCGTAGACGGACTGGTCACTATCTAGGAACGCTGGGTTCTCCATCTGCAAGGTCACACAGGAAGAGCCATTAGTTATTACAGACGAAAATATATATAATAGATTAATGGTATACAAGGTATTACAAGGACTATAATGGTAACTTACATGTTACTATGTACGATAATTTGTTTAACTGTATTTACGTGCACCTGTACCTAAATAAATCTACAATACCCTCCAGATTAAGTTATTTAGGTACAGATACACATAAATAAAGTTACAGAAATTATCGTACATAGTAACATGTGACTGTGTATTTATGTGTATCTGTACCTAAATAACTTAATCTGAGGGTATTCTAGATTTATTTAGGTACAGGTGCACGTAAATAGTCACACAAGTTATCGTGATTACCGCGGTATAAAATGCGCGAACAAACACAAGATGATGTTTACTGGAAAACGTTTCGGTCCTGGGACCTTGATCAAGGTCCCAGCACCGAAACGTTTTCTAATTAATGTGCCTCAGTGTTTGTTCACGTATCTTTTTTAAACCAATTCGTCGGTACTAGTTGCCAAAGTTTATACCATACTGATCACCTCAGACTACTAAATTATGTATTCCACCGTCTCCAGTATTATACTGTGTACAAGAGTCATGCAGCCACTGCCTGGCGAAACATCTCCACAACAAAAACACCGAAGTGATGCACATATGTCTAATTCAGCTACAAGAGTGCGCGCGCGCACGCACGCACACTAATGTGAGACAACATTACAACCCGGGCTGTTCAGCCGGGTTGTAATGGTTGTGTTGGCCAGCTGGCCGGTAGCTCACCAATAGACTAGTTCACCAGGTGGTCAAAAAGAGTGTGGCCTCACTAACACCGGACTGGGAGGTTGCTAGAAGTCCCGAAACCTTCCACAGGTATGTGACACCTATCGGTATGTGACTCCCGGAAGTCAATCATATATCTAATTTTAAACATGTCGTATATCTTTCCCATCTACGTGTCGTTGTGTTACCAGTCGTGCAACCAAGTTAAAATATTCGAATGAAGCAATGGGCAGGAAATGCTGCGTACATGAGTGTGGCTGGACATCCAGAGAGGCCTGCCCACACACACACACACACACACACACACACACACACAAGAAAATCACTGTAGCAAAGACCTGTCCTGCTACCGTGATACAATTTACAATAGTATTACCTAGACGTTTCTAACTTGACTCACACCGCGACTAGAAAATGGGGGTTGAAAAACCTTAAATCCTTTATAGTTCCTGAGTTATTACTTAGCGTACTTACTACACTGCTCTTATTTAATGGTCTGATGTACCATTTATGTCACAGACGGTACATCATAGATTTACACCTTTAAAGAGTTTCTCTACTCTGAGCCCGGCCATGGGCCTGGCTTGTCTGGTGCTGGTGCTTGTTGGAACGCAGGAGGGAGAGATATGTCATAATCTACACTTGGAAAATCTTGGAAGGAATGGTCCCAAATCTGCACACAGAAATCACTCCCTACGAAAGTAAAAGACTGGGCAGGCGATGCAAAATGCCCCCAATAAAAAGTAGGGGCGCCATTGGTACACTAAGGGAAAACACCATAAGTGTCCGAGGCCCAAGACTGTTCAACAGCCTCCCATCAAGCATTAGGGGAATTGCCAATAAACCCCTGGCTGCCTTCAACAGAGAGCTGGACAGATACCTAAAGTCAGTGCCGGATCAGCCGGGCTGTGGCTCGTACGTTGGACTGCGTGCGGCCAGCAGTAACAGCCTAGTTGATCAGGCCCTGATCCATCGGGAGGCCTGGTCATGGACCGGGCCGCGGGGGCGTTGATCCCCGGAAAAACCTCCAGGTAAACCAGGCTGTTGCTGATGGAGGTCCGGTGCCCCACATATCCATCACAGCCCGGTTGATCTGGCACCTGGAGTTTACCTGGAGAGGGTTTCGGGGGTCAACGCCCCCGCGGCCCGGTCTGAGACCAGGCCTCACCTGGTGAAGATACTTGTCCAGTTTCCTCTTGTTCCAGCCGTGTTTCTGATATCTTCTGGTAAGATGTTGAATAATCTGGGACCCCGGATGTTGATACAGTGTTCCCTTATTGTCCCCACCGCACCCCTGCTCCTCACGGTTTATTTTGCACTTCCTCCTATATCTCCCACTCCAGTACGTTGTTATGGCAGTTTGCAGATTTGGGACCAAGCCCTCGAGTACCTTCCAGGTATATATTGTCATGTATCTCTCTACGATATCATAGAGTCTGATATCTTTCACCTTCGAAAGTAACATTTCAGTGTAGATATGGAGCCAGTAAAGAATTTAAATTAATGGGAACGCCTTAAAGCCTTGTACTCACTGGAGCGGAGAAAAGAAAGATACAAGATAATATATACCTGGAAAATATTCGAGAGCCTTGTCCCAAATCTGCACACTGCCATAATAACATACTGGAGCGAGAGATATGGAAGTGCAAAAATAATAATAAAAAAATAGTTAAAAGCAGGGGTGTGGTGGGCACAATAAGGGAACGTTGTATCAACAGTCGTGGCACCAAATTATTCAACATCTTACCAGACGATATCAAAAACACTGCAGGAACATGTGAAGAAGTTTTCAAGAGAAAACTGGACGAGCATCTTCATCAGGTGCCAGATCAACCGGGCTGTGATGAATATGTGGGTCAGCGAACCTCCAGCAGCAACAGCCTGGTTGACCAGGCTAGCACCAGACGAGCCTGGTCCATGGCCGGGATCCGGCAACAGGTTACCTGGAGGTCATTCAGGGGATCAACGCCCTCGCGGCCCGGCTCCCGATGGATCAGGGCCTGATCAACCAGGCTGTTACTGCTGGCCGCACGCAATCCAACGTACGAGCCACAGCCCGGCTGATCCGGTACTGACTGTAGGTATCTGTCAAGCTCTCTCTTGAAGGCAGCCAGGGGTTTATTGGCAATTCCCCTAATGCTTGATGGGAGGCTGTTGAACAGTCTTGGGCCCCGGACACTTATGGTGTTTTCCCTTAGTGTACCAATGGCGCCCCTACTTTTAATTGGGGGCATTTTGCATCGCCTGTCCAGTCTTTTACTTTCGTAGGGAGTGATTTCTGTGTGCAGATTTGGGACCATTCCTTCCAGGAATGTAGATTATGATATATCTCTCCCTCCTGCGTTCCAACGAGTACAAGTCAAGTGCTTCCAAGCGTTCCCAGTAGTTAAGGTGCTTGACAGAACTTATACGTGCAGTAAATGATCTCTGTACACTCTCTAGATCTGCGATTTCACCTGCTTTGTATGGAGATGTTAATGTACAGCAGTATTCCAGCCTAGAGAGAACAAGTGATTTGAAAAGGATCATCATTGGCTTGGCATCTCTCGTTTTGAACGTTCTCATTATCCATTTTTTTTGCACGTGCGATCGTGGCACTGTTGTGATCCTTGAAAGTGAGATCCTCAGACATTACTACTCCCAGGTCCCTTACATTATTTTTCCGCTCTGGTATATATCGGCTGCTTCTCACCGAGGCAGGGTGACCCAAAAAAGAAAACCGAAAGTTTTTCTTCTTACATTTAGTAATTTATACAGGAAAAGCGGTTACTAGCCTCTTGCTCCCGGCATTTAAGCGCCTCTTACGACACGCATGGCTTACCGAGGAAGAATTCTTTTCCACTTTCCCATGGAGAATAGACTAATAATATTCATGTTTGCTGATAAATATGGAATTTACATGTTCCTAATAATTAAATTACAGAACTGATGGTGGGGCTTAAACTATAGAGGAAGTTTCCCGCAGGTCACTTTTCTAGGACCGAGGGTGTCCTAGGGCAAGGGTGTAGTTAACACTGAGCACCCGTGTTTTGTTTCACAAGTAAGAGAAACTGATATGGGTACCCGGGTGCTCGTGGGCATATCTGTGCACTTGACGTCACCATGGGCATGTGTGAGAGTTTATCTGATGTCAACATGCGTGCGTGCGTGCGTGCGTGTGTGTGTGTGTGTGTGTGTGTGTGTGTGTGTGTGTGTGTGTGTGTGTGTGTGTGTGTGTGTGTGTGTGTGTGTGTGTATTCGCCTAATTGTGGTCGCAGGGGTCGATTCATAGCTCCTGACTCCGAGCGTGTGTGTATCAGTGTGCACTGAATCTCGATATGGGTGTGTCTGTGTGTATACGACAGCATGTATACCGATGCGTACTTAAACAAGACTATGCTCTGTGTACTCACAGAGTAATAGAAGAAACGTTACAGCGACCTTTCGGTCCGTCCTGGACCATAATTCCAACATAGTGTTGTGACATTCTTCACACCTCCGACCCCAGGCACTTATGTTACCTACCTTAACCGATATTTACCTAATTCCGGTCCACTGGGCTCTGTCATATCTACTATTCCGGGTGTGAATGGAGTTTGTCTCCACCACGGGTCTAGTTTATGACACTTCTCTTGAAGACAGCTAGAGGTTTGCTGCTGCTGCTGGTGCAGTGTTCCTTCATTCTTATGTTATGTTCTAATCCCACATATGCATGTAAGGAGGGTGTTGAAGAGTCGTAGTCCATTAACACTTATCGAGTTCTCGCTCAGTGTATCCATCGCTTCCTTGCGATGATGTAGACGAGTTACAGAAATGTCGACAAGTAAGTCTTCAGCCCCAGAGTGGTAAGAAAGTGAAATGACCTAGACAACGAATTAGTAGGGCAGGATATATACACAGCTTTAAGAATAGGCATGACAGGGTTTATCAAGCCATGGGTGAACAAATTATTGGCCAGTTTAAGAGGAAGGATCAGGAGCTGACACTCGACCTCTGCAGCCTCAGATGCATACAAATAGGCCAGTACACGCATACACGCACGCGGACACACACGGGGCCAGGAGCTGAGTATCGACACCTGCAACCACAATTAGGTGAGTACACACACGCGCGCGCGCACACAATAGGGACCAGCGAAGAGGCGGAGCCAAGATCTGTGACTCAACCCCTGAAACCACAAATAAGAGAGTACAAACAGGTGAGTACACAACCACGTTAGTGCCAATAGGATGTTTGTTCCGGCTACT